CACTATATTATCCTTGTTAGTCCACGGGGGCATATCATTGAATACGTTCAGCTACGATACACAGCTGAACAGATTTTCCATATCTCACATCAATATCCAGCCAATGATGCCAGGACGGCCATTGTGAAACAGTTTCATATCCCAGGATTGGCCCAAGCGTGGGTTCAACTCAATTCCCATGTAAAGATCGTACAATGGAGATCCTGTGGCAATGTTAACGCGGTGAAGGGATCGGGAAGGAAGAGCTGCATGATCTAACCGCTGAACTTTCTGTCCTCAGGATGAGATGGCCAAAGGTGGGCTTTTAGGTAGAAGGCCAGGGTGAGAAACAAGCCATAGATATTGAAAGTGGTAAGCAGTGAACCCCAATTGTCGGCAACGAAAGTTGAAACCGGAAACCCTCCATACAAGCTGATAATGGCAAATAGCCACACAGTAACCATCGCAGCCAACATCCCATTGATTTTGTATTTCAGAACGTTCCCCGCAGGGGTTGGCTGACCTTCCTGAGTTGACCCTGGGAGAAAGCTGTAAAGCAGGGCCTGGAATAGAACCCATCCTCCATATGCCAAGGCAGTTTGCAAATTGGGGACTGGGCAGTACTGGTGATAAAACGAAAAGAGACCCTCGTTTTTGAGGGCCACAGCAGCCGACAGTAAGGATCCGTCAAAATGCTGTAGGGCCACATACCAGAAGAGTATTGTGGTAGGACATGCCATCATGATCACGAGAGACAACGCGCCATGAAGTCGAGGGACTTCAGTTCGCCTGCCCCATGATGGGATGACGTCCTTTGGAATCAACTGGAGTTTGTAACTCTTCTGATCCGCTTGACAAGGAACTGCAGTTGAAATGACTTCCTCCATCTTTCCATAGAAGTTGAGAACACGCAGCAAGAGTAGATAGAAATATTGATATGAGAGACTTTGAATTAATGGAGCAGAGTCTGCAGGAAGTGTAACATCCAGCCAGCAATCTTGAAGAGATGTAGTGTTGCTAAACTTTACAGTTACAGTTCAAAGAGGAGCGAATCGCTTAGGTAACCTGATTCGTCTACTATAAATACTGAGATTTAACTGGTGAGACAGTCATAGACATGTCTTGTGCATACCGAAGGTAAAGAGCACAACAGATAAACAGATTGATCCCATTACACTGGGTGAAGTAGATCTGCAGGTTCCGAGGGGGGGGGGGGGGGGGGGGCCCTGGGAGATAGAATCGCTCTCAAGCCTTGCACCTTGCATCAGAAATGGAGCGTTTGCACCAAATATTTGGTAGCATACTTATTAGACTTTTGGGCCTCTGGCAGGCTCCACGGCTTTCTGAAATTTTGAACAGATCAACTCCAAATCTGTTGATACAGATTGGCGGTAAGATCTGTTGCTTTAATTGCGCCATGAATACCAAGCCAAAGAGTGAAAGGACTAAACTTCGAAATCTATGGTGTGACTAACTATGGATAGCAGATGAGGCTAGAGTTTAAAAGCAAACAAAGATCAAGTTATACATGGTATCTATAACTTTGCAGGCGGTGGGTCCTTCAACCCTTGGGGAAAACCAGAACCCTGGTGCAATGAATACTTGCAGAATTCAATTGTTGATGTCAAATGTTGAGGTTGAGGTTTGAGCTCGCGGCCAGGCCGCATCAACCAGGTCGGGACGCTTGTGGGATGTCACATGACACTCTAAGGCATCGAGCATCAAACCACAGCGACATGATTTGCACACCTAATAAACTAATTCTAAGCTAGTTAAGCCAATCCCAGCCCCTTGACCCCCCCCTAGCCCGGGTGTTGAGGGACGAGGTTGAAGAGAGATGTATTAGTAATACGTAATATGTGTTGGTGCAACTAACTAACTGGCCAGTTAGATATTTTTGTGTGTGTGTGTGTGTGTGTGTGTGTGTGTGTGTGTGTGTGTTTGCTGACTGTTGTGTTTGTTTATGTCAGATGGGACCCGGTTGATGATCACATGGTTTTAAAACAGTGGGCCCAACTTCTAAACCAACATCCCAACTTTTTCAAACCACGTTAAACTGTAATTAAAACTATAGTTTGTGGGTCAACTCCTCCGCACATATATATAGATTTATGACTACTTGCCAGCAATGACGGTATCTCGAGAATCCTTGAAGAGTATACAAAACGCCCATATTCACTGAATTTACATTCATTGGTTTATGTTTGGCGAATCACGTTCGCATTCCTCCAATCGCGTTATACTCATTTCTGCCGGAAACTTGGGCAAAATGCATCCCTCAAGGAGAGCTTATGTGGAGGATGCTCCAGAGGTATGGTGATATATATCACTTCATTTCTCCATTACCCCTTGCTTTACACACCCTCTCTTTGCATGACCATGTTCACAAAATGTCTCTCCAAAAGGACCTGCTCGTCCAGCCCGTTTCCATTGTCCGGCCTTAACTGATCAGCTCCCTGTCGTCTTGGAATAGGATACGGAAATGGGAGTTGACTTGAACAACATCCGTAAGTAATAAATATCTAAAAATGGATAACGATCATGTTCTCCTTCCTCCCCCCCCCCCAAAAAAAAAAAAAAAAAAAAGAAAGGGAAAAAAGAAAAAGGAAAAAAGAAAAAAGAAAACCTTCCCCGTTGAAGTAGTATCCTAATAATTTGCTTTTCTGGAAGCTTAGCCTTGGACCGAGACTATGATATGCCCTCTGCAACTGCGGGTATTGCTCCCGAGAAAGCCTCCGCCATTCTTTCCCAGTTCTCTCGTCGAAGAAGAGCTGCTGCGATTGCAGTCCCCACAGATGATGGTCGAGTTCGTGCTAGACTACGCGAGCTTGGACAACCCATAACCCTCTTCGCTGAAGATGCCACTGACCGACGAGATCGATTGCGTGAGCTCTTGACCGACCTTGAAGAGCAGAAGGAGGCTGCTGGAGCTGCTGGTGGTGAAGAAGGGGAGGATGAACTTATGAAAGAGGGTGAGGAGGAGGAGGAAGAGGAAGGAGAAGGCGAGGAGGAATTCTATACTGAGGGCGGCCCGGAATTACTGGAGGCGCGAAAGAAAATAGCTAGGTTTTCGCTGCCACGGGCAAAGGCCAGGATTGAGCGGCAGAAAGAGGAATCAACCATCCCCCTACGGACACATATAAAGCATCGCAAGGCGATTAAAGAGAAATTGCAAAGTTTCGACCTCTACGGATCCCAAATTGCCGGCGAGCGGCCAGTGAGCATCGTCCGTTTTTCTCCCAATGGTCAAACGCTTGCCGCAGGAAACTGGGGCGGGGGGATTAAACTTCTCAATGTACCAAGTTTGAATAAGAAAACCACGCTACGAGGCCATACCGACCGTGTTGGAGGCATTTCTTGGTTTCCAGGCGCTACGAAGCCTGAATCGAATGTATCTGAGTCGTCCATCAACCTTGCATCTGGTGGCGGCGAAGGGAATGTCAATCTTTGGTCTCTCACACAGGATATACCAGTAACGACACTATCGGGTCACTCCGGACGCGTCTGCCGTGTCGAATTCCACCCCTCAGGAGACTTCTTGGCGTCTGCTTCCTACGACACTACGTGGCGACTTTGGGATGTTACAACGAGCACAGAGCTCCTTTTGCAGGAGGGCCATTCTCGAGAAGTATATTCATTAGCGTTTAATCCGGATGGCTCCCTTCTTGCCAGCGGCGGTCTTGATAGCTATGGACGTATCTGGGATCTACGTACTGGTCGAACGGTCATGATTCTGGAGGGACATATCCGAGAAATATACGGTTTGGACTGGGGTGTTGACGGATATCGCGTGCTCTCTGGATCTGGCGACGGCTGGGTTAAATGCTGGGATATCAGACAAGTGCGATGTATTGGCGGGGTAGGAGCTCATCGAGGTGTTGTCTCAGACCTCAGATGGTACAAAGGAACTGAAACGTCGTCTTCATATCTTCCGTCCGTCCCGTTGCAAGACCAGAATGGCGATGGAATGACTAGTCCTGTCAGCCCTTCCACGCCACCTGTTGACCAATTAACCTCGTCGTCGTCCCAATCCGTGCAGCCAAAGAAGTCAGGCACTTTCTTCGTCTCCAGTGGCTTCGACAAGAATGTCAATGTATTCAGTGCTGACGACTGGGCACTCGTCAAGTCGCTGAGCGGTCATGCTGGAAACGTTCTCAGTGCTGATGTAAGCGATGATGTGAAATGGATTGCTAGCTGCGGTCACGACCGTACGGTGAAACTCTGGGGCATCGAAGGATGACTGATGATGGCAAAGTGAGTTGTTCAGTTCGTGAAGCCTGTTTAGTCGACACGCAGCAAAACTATGGGCAATCTCGAACACATCGAACTGCTCATCATTCACTGCGACTAAAATTCGAGCTGCTTAGCCTCGCTGAAGTCTGGTCGTCCGTCACCATGCTATATCCTCGATCATAGTCGTTTGGGGGATGATTCAAGGTATTATTAATGTGTGGAAGCCTGTTTTCATACCTACACTTCTCCCACCGTCGGCCCTCACTCGGTAATTATACAATCGTCACTAGCGCCTCTTGCAAATATCCTACACCCAAAGGTTGCTGAAGAAATCAAACCACAGACATCCTAGTGGAAACTCCAGTCAAATTTGTCCTGCCCACCGTAGTTGACCTACTGTTGAAACTTATTTTGCGAGCGATCAGGGGTCATAGGATGGGCGCAGAGTCAGAATAAGCATTCTTAAATCTTGTGCACACATTGCGGATGACGAATGAAATAATGAACAGCTTGGAGCAATTTAAACGGTAATTCTCTTTTTCTCTGACGATACAAATAGAGGTCAAAAAAATTTCAAACACTGTATAATATTTCAAAGGCCATTTTGATGCAGAAAGGGTATCTGTAGAAGGGCATGAATCATCCGCGATAACAGAAATCACAGAAGAATCCTAAACTAAAACGCTCAATTGAACCTAAACATTGCGAGTGTCTGTCGTAAATATAACCCACAAGAAATGAAAAATAAAAACCCCAAAATAAAAAAGACAAATAACAACCCAAGCGACTTAGGGTTGATATGCGGGTAGCTCTAGGTCGGGCTTCTGGTTCCCTTTCGAATCAACAAAGTCATATTCCGGCGCATGATCCCAAGACCTTCCCACAACACCAGAACACATTCGCATCTCCTCCCCCACCACCGCCACCACGTCTTCCTCTATGGGTGCCGGTCCGAGAGGCACTTGCAAATAACTCGACGACATGACATCAAACCACATTCTACTCGCGTGGATACTCTTCGTGCATCCAGCACACTCCACCATAATCTTTAGGTGCAAGCTATAGCTGCGCCGAATGATATCGCTCACGAAGCTAGGCGCTAGTGATTGGAGGCAGGAGTTGTTTAAAGGCAACCCCAGGTGGCATGGCTGGCTTTCCAGAAGGATGTCAAGGTTGGTGCGGTCGGCTACTATGAGCTTTTCATCCTTGTTGCCATCGTGCGTTCCTCCCCATGTCGAGATGCCGCAGAACGATGTGTGCGTTTTGAGGGTTAGAGATAGGTGGCGGAGGCGGATTATGGGGACGATTTCGGTAGTGGAGAGTTCGGGGATGTGTGTGGCACTGACCAGCAGTGGAATTGATTGGCCTAGGACCACTTTGTCGGGTAGCTTGGTGATGATTTTGAAGGCTGAGCTGGGGAGTTTGGTTTTGGATGAGAAGATGGAGGATACCTTTTCTTTCATGGTTGGTTCGTAGTTTTCGTATTCCGGAAGGATTTTCTTGCTGAAGACGGTCCAAGTGGATGGTGTGGGTGAAAAGTTTGTTGCTGGAGAAGCTTCTGAGCGGTGAGGTGTAAAGCTTAGTGATTTTTGCGCACGCAAAGTTCCAGATGATAAACTGAAGGACGACGGGCGTTGAAGCTCTGCGGATAGCTGATATTGTATACGACAGTGCGTTTCGTTCGAGGTAAGATAAACGGACTCGTATCTAAAGGTTGGTGGAAGCGGATATCCATCCAAGCGTCGCAAAAAGTTACCCTGAGTGACGTCGGATTGTTTGTTAACTGGTGTGTCCGGGAAGACAAATTGGAAAGGCCATTCGAGACGTTTGGAGGCAGAGAAGGTATAGTTCCCACGGAACAACTGTTGAAAATACGAGAAAAATTGGACACGTCCCGTATATGGGCCTCCGTCTGAGGTTCTAAACCGAGTCTTTGCTTTCCCCAAAAACCAAATGGTTACAGACGATACCGCCTCGTCTTGGCCTGAATTCAACACGACTTTGCCCTGGATAATGGACCCCGGTGACCACGCTGTTTGCGGATTATCAAGTACAATAAAGAATGGCATGGCCCTTGAAAGGCTCCGGAAAGTCCCCAGAGCAGGGCATAAAATATATGACCAAATAGCGGGAATTTATTAGCCACTCTTGGGCAAGACAACTAGGAATGCCATCCAGCGGTTAAAACACCTGGGTTTCCCTTGATGTACTGAGAAACTCAGGCGGCTTTTGCCATACCGAGCCACTCGAAAATCGCTTCAGTGGAGTGACAATCAGAAAGCAAGCAACTCAGGTTCTGTGTCGTTGACAGTCCCTCAAAGGAAGAGGATAGTATTTCCTGGCACAGGATAAAAGAGAATGGATTGGAAAACAGATCGTATGTAGGAAGTGGGGATGAGTGCATTGACAAGTCCGCTTCGACAGGTCGGTCCTTCGGCTGACCCGGCACAACCACTTCGCAGCCGACACAAAAGTCAAACTAATATTGATTGGCGTTATCAATAAGACTTAACCATGCGTGTCAATATAATGACAAGCAGAATATCCAAAACACTCATGGTGTTGGTGTCATGGTGTCATGGTAAGGAAGGTGACTGACATTTATCTGCCCCGCACGGGTGAACTGGTATCTCGAGAAATACGCACCGCCAAACGATGCACTGAGTTCAACCTTGAATGTTTCCCGAAGACTGGCCCGGTTTCCTTGCATGGTGGCTCAGTATGTAAAGCACCATACATAGCCCGCGACTAATCCATGAAGCTAGGCCCTGGAGGGGGGAAAGGTCAGGAGACTACAAGTGAGGAATTGTGAGGATTGCAGGGAAAACCTGGAGAAGTTTCAATCCAATGAGCCAAATATGCAGAACCCCCGTTAGTGGAGACACTCGAACTTGGCATGCTTATCCATAGAAATGCTTTAAATACTTTGTCCAGGGGTGGGATGCGTAGAAATGAGGCACGGTTTTTGGTGATGAGTGAAGGTTAGTTGAAATAAACCTTCGAAGGTTTCAGGCCGTTCAATTCTCTCAGACCAGTGCTAAGCGTTGAAACCACAGTTCTGCCACAGTTGCCGGGATGCTTAACCAGTAAATATCATAGCTAACTGGTTGGTTATAGTTATACAATCTATAACTGTACGCTGTGAGCTGTGAGCTGTTGATATATCAAATCACAATATCCGTAAGACTAGAATTCATCTAGCATGACCACATTTTACTCTAAGAATACCACAGCGAATGGCTCGATACAAAGACACAATCTATCCAATCTATCCAACAACTCCCCACAAACCGTGCAACCTAAACAATAAAAGGAAATGAGAAAGAATAAGAATGAGGGGGAAAACAGGTAAAAAAAAAAAGAATAAATAAATAAATAAAAATATAAATGGACAATGCAAATCATCATGCCAACCACCCATCTTCAGATACACAGTTCTGACAACCAATGCTAATCCTCGCCCCTCCGCTCACCTCCACCCAATCCTCCGTCTGATGCGGCAACACCCCGCGAACCCGCATCTCAGTCCTTGCCGCTTCAAACCAAATCTCCCGTATAGGAGGCGGTTTCACGCTTTCCTCCCCATCCCCATACACCATGCAAGCCCGCACATCGTTCCTACTCGCGTCCCAATCCGCCTGCATATTGCGCATAAACTCCTTCCGCATGGTCCGTTGGTTATTCCCCCCGCCCTTTTCCGCTGCAAAAAATTCAGCAATACGGCCCAGGCCGGATGTGGTAAGCAGCATGCTGATCCATGGGTCACACGATGTGTGGAAGGGTGGTTCTGGAGAGAGCGTGAAGCGCAGATAGGAGACCAGAAGGTGGGTGCAGTGGTGGGTGGAGATTAAGGTGCGGGTGTTGGTGAAGGGAGGGGTTCTGACGATTTCGGCTTGCAGTTTGCGGAACATTCGAGAGCGGTCGGGAGGTTGGATTGGGACGGGGAGTCGACCGGCTAGGTATGTGGCGTAGAGATCGGATTGCAGGTCGAGGCGGGCGCGGGCGTAGGTTTCTAGGAAAAAGAGGGTGTAAAACCTGGGAGTGATTGTCAATATGGAGATAATCATAATCTGATCGATGGATATGGGGGTAGCATCGAGAAGTAAGTATATATTTACACACATGAGAGGGGTGAGCTTGAATTGCAGCTGAGCTACCCGACACTCATGAGAGGCCTGTAAATCCTTTTTGGAGGCAAACGGGGGTTCATTTTCCGGTGAAGTTTGCATATATCTATCCAGCACTCTATCTGCAAGATAGTACGACAACTTCGAACACACTTCCTGGCGCTTCCGCAAACTCCAGAGATATCGAAAAGTATAGACGCCCTGGTCGCTATTTTCACGCCGGGGAGGGGGAAACAAATCAGAGAGGAGGATCACGTCGTCCTCCGGCTCCCGTGTATATGTTCTTGATTCATCGATGGGAGACGGCAAACTTCCATGTCGTCGAAGCCGTAGATATTTCCGCGAAATCGCTTCTTCGTGGGTATCAATGAGAGTGGTGAAGGCTCTGGAGGCCAGCCGCAAGTGGACTATATCCTGCAGACGACAGTGGCTAAAAATATTGATCTGGATCTCGACCGGGAGCCAGCCCCAGAATGAAGGCCTGTTTACCTGATTATCACTGCTCTCATGGGTTACTTTTTGGTCAGTGAAGCCAAACCCCTCTAGTCAGATAGAGCTATATGTTATCTTAGAAATTGGGTCTGCCTTTTTTTTTTTTTTTTTTTTTCTTCTTCTTTTTTTCCTTTTTTTCTTTTTTTCCTCTTTTTCTTTTTTTTCTTTTCTCTCCATGGCTTGCATACATCCTACATACCATTGATTTTTCTTCAGATATGTAGCTTTTGCTCTGTCGAATATTGCACGGAATTTGCGGGCCCGCACCTCCAGGTTGGGCGCCATCGCGGCGGGAGCGTGAGGAGGGCGGTTTTCCGGCAGCAGACGTTGGGAGGACTCCTTGGAATGGTTCGCCAAACACTAGAAATTTAGATGGTAAAGCAGTTACCGCTCGCGGTGGTACAGATTACAGGCATTGACTATTGAAGCCCATCTGAATCAGGCTCAGCGTCTTTGCAAATTCGCGCGCTCGGGGCGGAGGAGCTTTGCTCCGGTATCCATATTTCATCTTTAATTTCTAGTGGTTTACTGCGCCGTCCAACGTCCGTCCGCGCTCTGCACGCGTTTTCCGATGTTAATTTTCTAATTATATTTCACATCCAAAGCTGCATGGATCTGGTCAACCCAAACCTTCCGAAACTACTATAAGCTCTAGTTATTTGGCTGTGAGGAATTCAGGACGAAGACGATCAGGCGAAGTAAATGTCATCTGCCTCCACACCAACTTCTCTCCATTCTCAATGATAACTTTCCCGCCGTAAGACCCTCCTTAAGTAGATCATGATAATCGCATTTTTGACAACTTTTGGAGAATGGAATGAAACAGCTAAACTATATAAAAAGATCCAGGCCATTCAACTGTGCGTCTGATTAGTGATCTCATAAATTGAGTAGCAGTGCATAGAATTGTGATATGGGAAAGTGTATGAACAGGTGTCCGATTATGTTATAATCTGTATAATAAAGTTTCTATTAATGAACAGGAGAAAGGAACTGAAACTTGGGAAATAATCAAAGACAAAGAACCAACATCGGTTGAGGAAATTGATTCGTGGCCATATGTTAACAAACGGTTCACAGAACCAAGATTTTAGGGTTAGGACAAACCTTCGAAGTCTTCGCAGATTATCACGTATATTAATGATAGGGCATACGTCCACACGGGTAAACATACTGGTCTCCGCCCCCCATGCAGCATGCAGGTGCAGAAACAGCTTACAAAAGCTTGGAGGGCACGGGGAGTTAAATGCTCTGATATCGTGTTGTGCGATCTGACGGAGATCACAGATACCGAGTCAGCCTCCGATTCAGGAGATGTCCATTCCGCGACTCCATCTTGTAGTTGGCGGTGGAGAGATTGGAGGCGCTGCAAATGCTTGACAGGTTTAGAAACATTTTGATATGCGCGCAGTGATCTCGCGGTTTTGCCCTGGGCATGTGTTCCAGGGATTGAAGGGATGGGATAAGACGAGAAGATCAAACCCAAGACGAAGGGGAGAATTGAAAATGTGAACGCAACTCCTCATACCCGCAGCATCAGTTATTCCTTTATAATCTATTTTTTCCGATGCGTGTCGTTGAGTCTGCCATGACAGCTTGTCCAAGATAGAATCTCCAGCGTTATATTTGGGCTCTAATGACAGCCGTTGAGCTGTGTTGTAAAGGGGTCTTTGTGTGTCAGCCACTCCGTAAAATGGTTGCTAGCAAGCTAAATTGTTCTATGAAAATGGACCATGCTTTCCTGCTGAACGGCGAATTTCTTGAGTTGTATGTAAATTCCACAACAGTTTGACGTGGGCCTGTCGCGACCGGGAACGGAAATCAGCAGCACTTGACGAGCGTCCAGCCCTTTTGCCGCAACGTATACATGTAGATGATTATATCCAACTTCTTCGTCAGTTCCTGTACCATCGCAGAGATTTCGTTCAAAGTTCTTTAGTCGTGCGCTCAATTTTGCAGGGGGGCGACGTTGCCTGTTGGAATGGTACATTTGTTTATGTCTGAAAAGCTATCTGACACAAAGTTAAGCAAACGATGTGGAAGGGCATAAAATAAACAGATAAAGCTGTCGGCCAAGTAGCGTAATCGTAAACAGCCCTGCATGGATATACTGTGAACATTCAAGTTTATGGCCGTCAGATCCATATACGACAAAGGAGCATGAGATTAAAATGCCAGCAAGTATCTGTTTCCAGCAGCAATGTCCCATCACCCACTTCTTTCTCTAACAGTCAGAATGCTCCACCTGTATTCAAGGCCCAGCTACTTTCCCACTGTCCCATCCCACATGAAAGTGAAACCATGAATCACTTTCCTATCCCCAGACAAGAAATGTATTTGACAAGACTCCGTTGTAAAAACATCCGGCACATATCTCCGTAGTCCTTGAGCCTGCATTGGCAGGTCGACATGGAGCGCCTTCCCTCGTATCTCTGCTGCAGTCGGTCCATCTGCTAACGCGAGATGATCTCTACTTAGCATGAGTTTGTACCCTAGCACCTTTGCAGGCCGTAAACAGAGGGGTTCCTCAACCCCCCTGGCGGCTGCAAGTTTAGATTCGTTGGCGAGGGTGCCGTAGAAAAAGTACCACCCAACCTTGGGGCCGGTATTTTGCCAGTTTGCTGAATACCAGCCAGCCGGAGCATAACATACGGAACGCATTGGAAGCTCTTGAGCATGGTGCACTGTATCGGAGGGAGGTAGGTCCGGATTTATGATCCCCGGGGAATCGGCGGCATCCTTCTCTTCTTTAGTCATAAGTCCTTGATAAACTGATGTGCAAATGGTAGCAAAGCGGGGGTGATAATGGATGGATGGTATTTTCGTTGATGCGGAGTTTACGTTTCGGCAAAAGAAGCGATGTGCATGATATTTTGAGAGAAAATGAAGCAAGTAGTTCATGAGCTAAGCAATGATTTTGCTGCAATATTGACACTAGCAAGCAGTACATCATTTAGAAGCATAGTGAATGTTTGAGGCAGATGGTCTGCCCTGGCTCGGATAAGTTGCGGCTAGAACTAAGGCCCTGAAGGATCTTGCTGTCCCATGATCGTTTCGAAGGAACAGTAAAGATTCAAGGGGCATATTCAGAACTGATTACAAAGAACAAGAAGTATCAGCGGCCATCTGTTTAACCCTTCTGCATCCAGCAGCAGACAAGGAGCCAGCCAGCTGAGAATATCAGAACTGCGGATATAAAGAAACAGTTTTTGCGGGGTGAGTGAACTAACTAACTAGTTACAGTTCTTGGTATTGATTATATAAGCCTAGCCTAGTTACTAAAATTAACTAGTTCTCTGCAAGGTTCAAAGTCCAACCAAGTTCATCAAGTGACGCAATACGACTGACTGCGACTCAATCGCAAACCATTTGCATGCCATACACTTCAGTAAGGACATCCGGAGTTTAATCAATCACTATCGGAGACTGAGTGATTGGCCGTGTTTGGGTTTTCCCCCTCGACCAGCCAGCCTGTTTGCTGGACCTGACGAATATGCCCAGGGCCTTCCCATCAACTGCTGCGCTGAGGCAAATAAGCCGATCTCCAACCCTCACCCGAACAAGCAATATTTCTCACGCATCAGACAGAAACAGAATATGCATATTATGCCAGCGTAGAACCTGGCATCTATCTCTTGCCAATCGAAATTATCATAATTCACGCAGTATATCAACTAGGTCCGGTATCTCCGCCGTCAGCAACCCATCTCCGCTACAGAATGGCGAGCAAAATAATTCGACAGACGATGCGGAATCACTCATAAACAAACCCCCTGATATCTCTACCCACTATACTATCTTTCCTGAAACCATCCCTGTTCCCCCACCAAGAGGCTCCTTCTCTATCTCCATCCCGGACCTTCGCCGCGAATTCCTCCGTCTCCAAGCCCGCGCCCATCCTGACAAGTATCCACCAGGACCAAAGAAGCAGCGCGCAGAAGCGCTCTCCTCTCGCATCAATGAAGCATACCGTGCGCTGTCAGATCCACTGTCGCGCGCACAATATATTCTCGCCTCTCAGCATGGGATCGACCTGGAGGCTGAGGACGGCGCCAAGGATCACCCGCAGGATATGGAGACGTTGATGCGGGTGCTCGAGGTTCAGGAAACTATTGAAGAAACGCAGGATGAGCTGACGGTTGCGCAGTTAAAAGAGGAAAACGAGGAGAGGATTAATGGATGTGTGGCAGCGCTGGGGTCGGCGTTGGATCAGGGAAATATTGACGAGGCGAGGAAGGAGTGCGTTAGGTTGAGATTTTGGTATACCATTCGAGAGGGACTGAGGGAGTGGGAGCCCGGGAAAGGTGTTAGACTGATACATTAGATAGCTAGTTTACCTGGCCTTTTATTTTATTTTCCTTTATTATTTTTTTTTAATTTTTTTTTTTTTTTTTTTTTTTTTTTTTTTTTTTTTTTTTTTTTTTTTTTTTTTTTTTTTTTTTTTTTACTTTCAATCCTTGGATGTCATTTCATTTCATCCGTGCACATCATAGGAACAAAAATGAGATGCTTTTGTCAATGCTTGTCTCTGATGTTTGTGGGTTTTCCTATCGGATATAGAAGAATTGCCAACACTGGCGAGGTTACGCCTGATTCTAGAATGTCCTTTATTGCGATATGTGACGTGATTGTTATGTTCTCTGATTGCTGAGAGTTTGGATTCCTTCACCGTTTTGCACGAGAATGAGGTGTCGAATCTATATGTTGCGCTTTACCCAAATTCAACCTCTCATCCAGTTATATTTTTCGGGTGCAGCGTGTCTTCTTATATGTAGGAACAGGCATCAGATCCAAGATATTGTGACACAAAAATATAGTTTATATTGAAATGCCTGGGAGGATGATGCCTCTTTTTTGTAAGATATTCAACTGCTCGCCAAATCTCTTGAAGATATGGACCTGGCGTGCATCAAAGGAGGTTGCTAAATACAAAATTTTAGCTCCTAGTTAAACCAACCATTCTTTTATTTTTCCACCATACATCAATTGACATAATGCAGCTTCTCCCAACCCGCCAAGCAGAAAGAACAGCATGTCAGTCCAATCATTTGACGTGCTCTGTCAATTGCAGTTCGAAAGGCAGCTGTAAATAGTAACATTTGTAAACTTTAACCTCACCTCTACAATATGAAACTTTAATATAAAAGAGATGCTTAACTCAACAACTCTGTAACATATTCATTTTTGAAAGAAAAAAAATAATAATAAAAAGACAAGAAAGAAAGAAAAAATAATAAATTTAATTGCTTCTTTATCATATCAACTGTAGTCTTCAGAAGGCATTTGATATTTTTGACTTAAAGTTTTAAGACTGTATTTTTTGCTCATAAATATGTAATCTTTCATATCATTTTTAGATCTATAATGTTGACACTCTTCATCTGCTTCTTTTACTTGACGTTGTACACCATTAAATTAAGAAGTTTGAATTTGTTTTATTCTCCTTGAGATGCTAATGCTTTATAGTTAATTCATTTAGTTGTAACAGATATAAACATCTTTTCTTTTCCTTGAAAAATCATTTGGTGACTTGTAAGTAAATTCTCTAAAAAAAATTATTAATAAATTAAAAAGTTTTAACATTAAAATTATAAGGTAGAAAGAATGGATGGATTCATATTTATTATTTTTACATGCATCTGGATGACTGCGTTCTGCGCGTTGTCCAGTAGGAAGAGCCCAGCGAAGCCAACCTCAAGAGACTCACCGAGGTAGCCTACGATAATGCCGTGCGACAAACCATGGAGAAGCACATGCTCTGTCGACACTAACAATGAAATCTGCAAAAGAGGTATCATTGATGTTGTACTCCGTATGTTGCAAGAAAATGATGTTGACATTGTGCAGTAGTCCCCACAGGGATTTCCCCTCAGTGGACAATGTCTGATATCCCGGTATTACCCTGGCTATCTGCTATATTACCCAGACTTAAATTCCTTACCCACGAAATTTGCGAAATAATGCTAAAGCGTAGATAGTAATATCTTGAAATACAGCCCTGGAAACTACAATACAATACAAAAATAATAATAATAAATAAAAAAGAAACTGTGTGCAAACACTCCACACATATTGTTTTTGGTGTATCAAAATGGCAAGAACAAGAGGGACAAAGCAGAAAACAGAGCGCTATGAAATCAATATGAAGTGGTGAACTTAAAAATGCAGCTGCCAACAGATCGTACATATCCTTCTGTTATGATTGCTAGACGTTTTGTTGGGTGGTTTTCTTGATCGGGTACGTAATAGATACATGAATGTTTAGAATTCCAAAAAAAAAAAAAAAGAAAAGAAAGGAAAATAAAAGAACGAAAGAAAAAATGGCAGAAGGAATGGAGCAACTTCCCAGCACCCATTCATTGTGTAGATTATTGTCCAGGACTATGCACACAGACACACCATAACATCTATTAGCGCGTCTATCAGGCATCATCTTCAATGTAATCTTCTACCGTAGTTGCACGAGACTTGCCCTTCGACAATAACCGGTCGGATGACTCAGGTTCATCGTCCTTACTATCCTCAATACCTGCGTCAGACGTCGTTTTGTCAGCTGCAGTTGTAGATGTATTAATTGCTGCATTTGATGCAGCTGGAGCCCAGTCTGGGGGGGCAGGCATGGATTCTTCAAAAGGGTGACCATTGGCCGAACTTGGTTGTACTGGCACGTTGTTGGTTCCGCTATTCGGTGTGGAAAATGAGAACTGGGGATGTATGGAAGCGGCATCAAAGAGAGGACGCTGATGATTTGAGGAAGGGGGGTTAGGTGGCGCACTCCGATCGGCTGTTTCAGGATTGGACGGTTGGAAAATATTTGGAATTGAAGAAGATGCTTGATGATTGGATGTAGGCGCTGAGGCAGTCGGTGAGGATGGGGGATTGGTGGCTTGAAGGGTTGAGGTTTGTGTAGATGGTTGTCCGGAATTATTGACCTGCTGTAAAGGTAATAATGTCCAACCTTGCGGCAGAGTTAGTCCTTCGGGAAGACGATTGTCCCCTGAACTTAGTGCGGGGACTTGTGGATTGGATGTGAACTGTCTTTGGCTGCCAGTGTACGGAATATGTGATGAGGCTAGAGCAGTAGGAGTAGTGGTTGGAAGGGATGGAATGTCTGCGGGAAGTGGTTGTCCAGGAATGAGCGTGTTTGCGCTTGTTGCGTTAGCTTGAACTGCGCGAAGTCTGGCCAATTCACTTTGTAATAAGCGGACGACCTGTAGTTGTTCAGCCGCAGTCCGCAGAGCATTTATTTCTTGGGAAATTTGTTGCTCGATTTGATGAAGTTGAGCCTGGGTATAGTGAATGTTGAATTGGGAAGTTGGGGTGGTTTGCTGTGGGATTTGGTGAAGGGGCTGCTGAAGGCCTTGCGGAATGAGGGGCGGTTGTTGAATTGGGGGGCGCCCGAAGCCAAATCCGAAACCAATCTGTTGCGGTCCAGCGAGTCCCGCGTTTTGATTAGCAGCTGGTGGTGGAAGAGGTACGTCTCCATTGTGGATCTGTTGCGCTAGGTTCTGGAATAGGTCCCCACGACCAGCACCGAATCCGATGCGAATGGGGCCGAAGTTGAAGACCCACGCTCTTTGTCGAGCTTCCCCGGGCTGGCCATTGGCTCCAGGAGCTTGGGCTGGAGGCACCCCTCCAACGTTTACCCTGCCACCAGGAACTGCAGGAGGAGCAGCAGGAGCTCCAAAAATCCCGGGTTGGACTACCGGGGCAACAGGCCGTCTACAAGTTGGGCAATTTTGTTGACGTTCCAACCA